CCTGGAGAGAATAGTAGGGCCTCCTGCTGAATGGAGGAAGTTGGGCAAATGAATGGGTGAGCTGCCAAGGTCACTTGTGAAGGGACCAGGAGTGATAAGGAAACAACAACACATTCAGTCAGCTGCTTTTGACTTCTAACTCCCAAACCTGCCTGCTACATGGGGGAAGCCATCTCCCATGGGAGTGAAGTCAATGAAACCATATTCTAACTGTTGAGTCTTTCCAGGAGCCAGGGCTTCAAGGCATAAGACTCCTGGTTCCTTAGTCAACCACCCTCTCCACTCTTTCTACTCTCACTCCTTGTGCTTCTTCTTCTTTGTTGTCTTGCTGTATTTTGATGTGTGCCTTGCCCTCTTGCGTGTATCACTCTCAGATCTCAGCTGTCAGAGTCAGATGATTTCCTGACTCTGTTTCTTTTTCTAGAAGAATTTCTCATGGGATCAGGCTTCTCAGACTCTGCTGACTTTGCCTCTTCTCCTTTTCCTCATCAGATATCAGAGTATTTGTTCCCACCAGGTTGCATGAAGCAGTCTTTTACAAAGTGGCCTTTACAGCCACACTTCTTGCAGGTAGTGTTCAGGACAGCCTTGAGTGTGATCCTCTGCCTAGTGTAGTCCTGGAAGAACCTCCTCTGCCTCTCTTCTTACTCAGTGATAATGTTGTTGGGATAGAGGTCTTTCCCAGTCCCTTGGTTGACAACTTTCATGGAGAGGGATACTTTTATCCTATAATTTTTCATCTCTGAGCCAGTAAGCTTCACTCATACTTTGTCTTCCATCTGTATCTCAGAGGGTTTATCCATCTGACAGGATGACATGTGAGTCTTATGGACCAGACCTTGCTTCTGACCACCTGGGATTTTGATAAAGCCTCCATAGTCTATCACCATAGCAACCTCTCCCTGGAAAATAGTGTAGAGAGCAGGCAAGTTTTCCATGGTCTTGGGCCTTCCTGAATTCATCCATAATGTTTATGGCTCTTCCATTTCTCTTCTGCTAAAGCTAATTCAAGTGTCTCAGCATCAGCTTCGAGTCCCCTAGGTGTGGCTGTGTGCAAAACAACAAACCCTAAGAATGACTCAATATTAAGAAACCTATTGATAACAACATACTAGCTCATTAAATGTGAAAAACTATGATTATCTGCATAGATGAAAAAATGC